GAACTTTTATATTAAACAATTTTTATATTTATATACATTTTTATTTTGCGTTTTTAATTTTATAATATAATAGTTTGTACATCGTTAACGATTTTGCGTTTTTTAACATTGAAAATGACCTAATGAAGGTTGAAACGTTTGTTTTTGAATTTTATTAAATTTTATATTTATTTTTAACTAATGACTGTTTATTACTAAGACCTTTGGATTTTAACTAATATTTGGCTCGTAGCCCTATTTTATATTAATTAATTTTTAAATTTATTGAGCCTTGTTATATACATATTTTTTATATACAATACTTTTTCGTAAAATTATTAATTATTATAAAATTTTATTTTTTATTAGCTGTACAGATTCTACACTTATTGTTTTACATTGTATTAGTCAAAAATATTTGACATATCATGATTATCTTAAATTGTTACTCAATATTACGAATGATATACCAATGGAAGGAATTATCTGGACTCCTAATGCAGTGATGACCGATAACACCGTTCTGTTTTATATACTAACAATATTGCGTATTCTGCCAGCTATATTAATAGATTTAATTTTTAAATTTTCTGGCCGCCCATCTGCGTAAGTCTTAAATGAAGTATTTAATTAATTCAAAGAATGTGAAAATTATTTATGGATATATTTAATTCAATTGATAAATTGAAAAAAAAACTCCCCAAAAAACTGAAATTTTATATTCTTCTTGAAGGGGTATACTTCTTTTTTCAGAGTAAAAACATTTTCTTTTCATAAATTAATCTAAAAAACTACTTTGTGAGTTTATATTATCTCTTTGTCTATCTTTAATCTTCATAACATGTCTGGACATAATTTTCATACATTATGTCTCGATTGGCTAAACTTTGGTAGAGTGTAAAGAATCGATAAACAAGAGAAACAATCCTTTAGAAATATGTTCGTTTTTTGCATTTGTTTCGGAGAACGTCGTAGAAATAGACAAAACAATAATTTTCATTTTTATACATATTACATATAACAATATATGTATGACAAATAATAATAAATATAATATATATAATAGATAACATTATATCTGTATAAAGATTTACGCGTTGTTTGCAAATCCATTTTTTGTATTTGTAAATTTTAAATCTACGAATTCAGCCATATAGTTGAAACTATGTTGTAAGTTTATTATAAGTGTTAAATAAATAATTTAATGTTAATGAATAATATGCAAATTAGGATAGTACAAGCGCAAAGAAAATTATATCTGGTAAATTGTACTTTGAGTTATTTTTTGCTTCGTGACTGGAAATTCAGTAATACAAATTCGTTGATACTATTATCGTCAATACCACCTGACGATAGAGATATGTTTTCTTTTGAGCATGCTGATTCTGATATTAAAAGATATATCAAGTAAATATATTATATTTGTATTCTAAATAATGAAATAGAAATAATTTTTCGACGATGATAATTAAAATCTAATAAATGTTTTGATACAAAGGAATAGCGCAATTGGTGTCAAAAAATTTCTTCTTTATGAAGATATGAATAGATTGGATGCAGCCAGAACACACGGTAAAAGGTACAAATATATATACTATATATATATATATATATCCATATAAATTATTTGTTAGATATTATTTACGACCTGAAAAGAATTGTTGTATTAATCTAAAATATATATACATAATAAGTTATTATTAAGAACCAAACACTATGTGGTGAAATATGAGAGTAGTTCGAAATGTTCTCGGCCTGACATAGAAGTGGTACCGGGAGTATCAAATGGCTATGATTTTTCTTAAGTTTGATCTTTCAGAAGGCCTCCGAAAAAGTTTCAGACAGACGCAGTTAGTAGTTTGTTTATTGCGTCGAGTAAAGCAAATCCAATCAGCGCGTTTGCTAACAGTTGACAGAAACGCACTCGAATAAATGTTTCTTAAGAGTGTTTGAACATGTTTAAACGCAATCCATCCAACTTTCTGCGACGATTCATCAATGTGGATGAAACATGGATTTACCACTACATACACCAGAGACAAAACAACAGTCCAAACAATGGGTGGAAGCGGGTGGAAGTGCTCCAAAAAAGGGTTAGAGAGAAAAATTGTATTATACTGAAGGTCTAAAGAAGTGTTGAAATATCGATGGTTTATTAATCGTTGGTGTATTGATTTACAAGGGGACCATAAAAATAAAAAAAATAAGAAAAATTTTGACAAAAATCATACATTTTCTTTGTCAGGTCGAGAACTTTTCAAACTACCCTCGTATAAACAATCCATGATTTTAGTTAAAATATAACTAGATTTAATAACATAAATATATACGTGTGGGTGCATGCGTGCGTGCGTGTGTGTGTGTATAGATAAATAGAAGAAAAAAAAGAAGAATTATGAAGGCTTCATATCAAATACATATTACATAAACAGAATTTATAAAATTTTTATTTAGAAAAAAAGCATAATTGACATAATTAAACTACATACATATACAGAGTGAGGCATTTAAAACAGGTCATCTGAATGACTCGCTTGTTTTTAAGAATAGAAGGAAAAATATCAAACAAAAGTTGGTTGGTTTCAAATGTATCACTGGATGTAAATAAAAAAAACATTCCATTAAAAAAAAAACAGATTTGAGCTTTGCCTATCCTTTACGCTTTCACCTACAAAACAATTATTGACATCACATTATATATGTGTCCCTCAAAACTAAGCAACTTTTGTTTAATACTTTTCCTTCTATTGTTAAAAACAAGTGAGTTATTCAGATGATCTGTTTTAAATGCTTCACTCTGTATAGTGCATTAATCGCATTTATTTTATGTTTAGGGTACGTTTGCTTGTGGCGATAGTGGATATTATCATTTCTACTTGTCTGCTATGGATAATATTTCAACGGATTTATTCTTATATTTATGTCTAAAAATAAAAATATATACATTATATATGAGAAACGTATGTTAAAAAATTAAACACTCATTTCTGAAATATTTTGAGAATGCAATTATTCTGTAAACAAAAATATGTTTTAATAACAAATAAATAAAGATAATATTTTCTGAAAGATATGCAATACATGTTTAATTATCATAAATTGTGTCTTAATAAATATTCGATATAAATAAATCAATTTTATAATATTATATAAAAAATTAGGGTTATGTTATATTTTCAAATTTTTAAAAAAGTATTAATAAATGTTATACATTTTATTGTACATGTATAAAGGTATATTAAATAAAGTGCATTTTATTTAAAGAAGTGGATTTTCAATCTTATAATATAATATATGTTTCTAACTTATAATTTATAATATATGATAAACTTTGAAAGGTTTAATGTGCTTTTGTATTATAATATTCAGCCAATATTGCATTTATCATGAAAAGAATCAAGTTGGTGTGCTCAGATAAACATAAACGTGAAAGAATTTGCTTTCTGAACTTTCAAGAATATCATTTTAATAATTCTATCTTATTTCCTATATTTGGTTCTTGTTGATTGTTTCCACTTTTTTGCTGATGGTGTATTAACAAATGTGCTGTATTATTATTTTTACATTATGAATAAAACTATATTGGATCAGTTCTAAGCAGAATCGTAAGACTCGTAACTTGTAAAAACTTATGAATACTATTTTATTTTTTTGCGTACGTATCATAACGTAAGAGTACGATTATTCATAAGCGGTAGTACTTATATATATGTATATATACATATAGGAGAGACTCTCAAGAAGAGATTTAAGCTGAAAGTCATCATATCCCAGACAAAAAACACTAAATATTATAGAAAAATGAAGATCTTGAAGTATATTGAAAGGAAATGTCGGTAGTTGAAAATAAAAGAAATATTTATTACAATTAAACTCTGACATTAAAATCTATGTTTGAATCCTTTCATTTCATTCAATGGCGAAAAACGCTCCACAAGCTTTCTCGGACAATAGAATTTCGCTTTTGCCTTATGGTTCTTTATTGAATTTAATTTAATATTTATAATCTAGTCTAGGTAATATAATTTAATTTAATAATAATAATCATCATTCTCTTATTTAAATCAAATTTTATATAGGTATAACGTATTTTTGCAAGAAACTGAAGAGTTTCATATACACATGTATATACGATGTCAATAGCTCTTTTTATGCTCATCTAATGTAAATATGTACAAAATGGTAAACTACATTATATGTAAAAAAATTTAATAAACAATATTTTATAATAATATTTAATTAATTTAAAAAATATAATACAAAGTCTTAATACTTATTGTTGCAAATCGTTTTAATATCATTATAATAATGAAAATTTTGTACAAGTCTGTAAACACATCTACTAGAAGATGCTATTAATGTGTTTATTTGATTAAAATTAATTTTTAAGATGACATGTTGATTACATTAGTACAACCTAAAAGTTCTGCGACGGTATTAACAACTTTGAAGGAGATATTTTTCATCAATATACGGCTTTTGATTCCGGCGTTCTTTAGTGCCAAATGATAGAGATCAGCATAAAACTGTCAAAAAAACATATTTATACATATACTTCTTCGTATATTTTGTATATTCTTTAAAATATTAATACATTTATGTTATTTATTTATTATTTCTCATTTTCTTTATTATAAAGGATTATTTGATAAACATTAGGTTATATGTATAATTATATATTTAGAATATTTATAAGATGCACTCTATATATATATATATATACACACTATACATATACGTATGTAGGATGATTTTTAAATATTCTAAAAGGTTTTTAATTCCGTTCAGCCAATTCGGAGATTTTTATACAACAGTGTCAATAATTTGGTCATTCTAGCATCTCCTTAAAACTAAGAAAAGACACAACTACTTGTTCCTTTTCGATTTTAATGAATTTTAAATATATATATATATGTATTAAACATGTACACGAAGAAGAAAAATATATTTGTTTCTTATATATATGCTTATTAAGAGGGTGGAAGTCTTTCTTGAAAAATATAGATTCTTTTTAGTGAATATCATTTAAACTATCAAAGACTTCAAAAAATTTCAAATAAAAGTTTTACAGCTGCATGTATAATACTTACAACTATGTATACGCACGTTTATGTATCAAAATTATTAAAATAAATTGTTAATAATAAGCAACTTTTTTTTATTAAAAAAATTTTTATTAAATCTTGTATTACCTCTGAGTTTTCACCATTTAACGGTACATTGGAAAATTCTGAGCTCACTTCGGTGCAGGATACCGTCATTGTTTTCAAAGGAGTTACCAAGAGAGTTAAATTTGTTCGCTGTAAAAGAAGGTAAGACATTCAAAAACTTTTTATTTAATTCATCTGCTATTTGGCGCAATAAAAGTTAACATTATTTATAAATTAACACTTACAGGTTTTGTATATGTAATAATATTTTGTTTTTTTAATTTTAATTTTATTAAAAAATTAGAAATGAATATAAAAGATAAAATTAAATTTATTATAATACAAAACTAAGAAGGGCAAAGAGCCAAATAAATTTATCGAAAAATATTAAATATATAAAATTTAATAAAACGCTTTAATAATTACAAAAAGACAGACGTTTCGACACCGATCGGATCATTATCAATGTTACAATTAATAAAGTTAACATAAAAAATGAACGCATTCTTCTTCCATTAAAAATTGATCCTTAAATATTAATCTTCATATAAATCGGTATAGAATGAATCATATGTTGAAATAAGTATAAATTGATCCTTATCAAAAATACAAAAGAAGCAACAAGTCCATAATTAAAATTCATCGAAGTCAATTAATATAAAATATATTTGAAAACTGTAAGTCATTTTGCGGTTGTCATTTTACAGTTTTCAAATATATTTTATATTAATTGACTTCGATGAATTTTAATTATGGACTTGTTGCTTCTTTTGTATTTTTGATAAGGATCAATTTATACTTATTTCAACATATGATTCATTCTATACCGATTTATATGAAGATTAGTATTTAAGGATCAATTTTTAATGGAAGAAGAATGCGTCCATTTTTTATGTTAACTTTATTAATTGTAACATTGATAATGACCCGGTCGATGTCGAAACGTTTGTCTTTTTGTAATTATTAAAGCGTTTTATTAAATTTTATATATTTAATATTTTTCGATAGATTTATTTGGCTCTTTGCCCTTCTTAGTTTTGTATTGTTTTATACATATAGAGCCTTCTCACTAATTATTTTAAATTTATTATATTAATTTTATGCAATATTTGAAATAACTTTTCATGCATTATTGTATTGTTTTATATTTTTTACAGAAAGATAAAATAATTAATATCCGACTTCTTTTGCAACACATCCGTGGATTTCCTTGAATTGTATCACGATTTCTCTGGAATGTCGATTAGCGTTCCAGCGCGACCAAGAGAATGTATATGCTGTGCAAAGTAGAGCCATGCATTCACGTAGATGCCTCTCAGTTACCGGATGCTTTACCGGAAGAGCTTTCACATAACTGAAGGCGTCTCGCTCTGGAAACAAATCGCATCCAGCATCGCGCATTTTCTATTAGAAAAAAAAAGAGTATTTTAATAATCTCATACATAAAAGAAATTATTGAAATATCTCTTAATTTTATCCGTTAAAAATAGCATATCAGTGAAACTTTTATTTATTAGAATTTTTGTATTATAGACAGTATAGACGTCGATTACAAATTATTTGTAAAAAATTGACAAGTTTACCTCAATCAAGACATGCAGTTTCATATATTTTCCAATAATTTCTTTAAGTGCCGTTGACATACCACCGGCTAACGAATTTAAGCAGACCAAGTCTTCCTAAATAAAGGATTATCAAACATATTGACATAATTAACAATTATCAATATTAAATAAAAACAGATCAAATTTTTAACGTGAATAAAAAGAGTTGTATTTGGCCAAGGCTAGTCTTAGTGTCTAATAATATATTGTATAAATGTTTACAAATATTCCAGTTCAAACAAATTGCGCGCTGATTACTTATCGATTTTTAAATCCCGACTGAGATAATATTTGTCGCAATAAATTATTCACAATGCTTTAAAGATACTTATTAGCATCAATAACATTAAATTGATTGTCAATTTTATTTGTGCGCTTTTAACGCGCGACAAATTTTTCAAGCCTGTTAATTGTCTGAACAAAAAGATCCAAGAATCTCTCTTTCCCACAACCAATCAAAGGCTTGAAAAGTCTTATCGACCAATACATGAAATATCAGAATGATTTTGTTTCAACTAATAAGTAAAAATCGGCGCGTAGTTTCCATTAGAAATTGTAAAATAACATAATATATTATTGAACACTAAAATCCGCCTTCATAAAATAAAAAAGTAAGATTACACCTTTATGAAATGATATTTGTTAAAGTTATAAAAAATTATTAACATTTTGCATTGTTTTTTATGGAAACTATGGAACTTTCCATATTTAACTTTACGTTTTTGTGTGGGCTACTTGTATAAAATTTGTGTCTTATGGGACTGATCTAGTTGTAAATAATTTTGTTAGGAGTTCTAAGAATAGAGTACCCTGACTATAAATTCTGCTTGAACGATGGCAGCAGACACATTGAGCACAATACCACCTCGTACGTTTCTGCTAATTTCAGGCTTGAGTTCCCAACTTTGAAAGGGAATGTTAATAAATTTGAAAGTGGCAAGACCGTGAACGCCTAATCTGCCGGTCCTAAACGTAATAGTTTGTTTTTCTTCGTTGTACTTTATATCATGCACATCCTGTGTAGACCATATTTTCTTCTCAGGTATCCAATGTGCCACTAATGGTGGTTCAAACCAAATAATAGAGCTGGGAAGCCTGTAAAGAAATTTATGAAACGTGATTTGCATATGAGAATTTTTTATATGTATATAATAACGGCATAAAATTTAAAAAA